TCGCATGACTATCATGTGTAAACTGTTTCTTTTTCAGGGACATGTTTGTACTGGTGGGCTTTACCTATAGAACTTTTTGTGGTTTGAGGGGTGGTAACCGTTTGTTTCTATTGTATTATATATATGTATATATATTTACCCCCGGCTTTTAGATAAGCATGGTGCCAATGCAACAACAATAATTACAATAACAATGAAAGAGGACAGGTGGGTTGGAGTACAGAACAGGGTGAAAAGCGGGTGAAACAGTTAAACACTGGAAAATGGAAGATATCTGGAATAACAAAATTTCTGGTGTTTTACCGAACACCTTTTGATATTTTTTTGTGTTGCTTACGCCTCTTTTACAGAGCACGGGATTTCGACAGACAGACAGTTACGTCCAGTCCATCCGAGTGCTGATGACACGCCTGCTACACACTCGAAGTTCACTGGACCTGCCTGAGACTCACAGCTGTAAAAAAGGTGTGGTTTCTCGCTCGGGTTAGGTAGGCAAGCGCCAGGTACCCTGTTACGGTTGAACCATTCGACTGATCGATAAATGAACTCGATCGGTCGAGTGATTTTCGGGCCGGCACAGGAGGAGAATAGGTTCCTTATCCGATGCTGCCTAACTGTTAATAGAGAATCACCCCAAGAGAATCAGTTGTGGAGCGGTGCACCATGTGGGAAATTCCGAATCAAAAATACCCAAGCGATGGTGACACTGGGCCAACGCTTGACTCGTAAGAGGTGTACGAGAGTTCAAATCATTCTGTAAATACCATTTATACTGTGAAATGCATCAGATGCATAAACCGTTTGACACTCACTTGACAACCGGCTTTATCTCTCCCGAGCCTCATGGTAAATCTAGAGCTCTAACCGACTGTTTTTGAACGAACAAGAAGGGGGCGTTTCAAAGCAATCGCGATCGCTTAGACTGTGGACAGTAAATGTTGCTTGACCTGCTTCGATCTCACCCCGATGATCGTGTAGATGGGCCTGACTGACTCATTCATTCCACTAGCTTTTAGACAAGCATGGTGCCAACGCAACAACAATAATTACAATAACAATGAAAGGGGACAGGTGGATTTTTCATGGGGCAAGGGATTTCGACACAGACCATACAACATTTGAGCCACTGATTTCTATTCTGGGCCATATTTCTCAGCGTCTCTAACCAACAACAATCCTCATCCCTTCGGCCCCAACCTGGAAGTAGAGCTGCATCAACCAAAGCCAAAGCTGAAGCCAGCTTCTACATGCCTCTAACCCATTTCATGGTCTAACCGCCGCGCCGCTTCTTCCAGCCTTGCCCGGCACGTGCGAAGAGAGCACGGAAAGGTAGTCAATGGACAGGCATACGTAATACGTGACCAAGCCATCGAAGGCGGTGTAGAGCGATTTTTTCTACTAGAGAACGACTATCCGCACCCAACACACAACGGCGAACCTCATCATTGCTCACCCGATGTTCACACCAGGCACGAGCAATGTTTCGGAGACATCGGTGGTCAAATAGAGAAAGTCGATTAGCATCCTCAACGCGGAGGGACCAGGTCTCGCA